CCCTCCACTTCAGCCGTCCAGATTTGTAGTCCGAGTGCTTTTCTGCCTGTCAGGTTTGCTTTAAATGTAAAAGTGGATTCGTCAGCCCCTGATAACGAAGTTCGGAGCTATTCTCTGCCTGCTTCAGGGTTCACGGTAAATTTTCACCTAAGAAGACTTTCCGTCGTGCCTTGCTTTTGAATGTAGTTTTTTACTTTGATCGTTGTTTGCTTCCTTAAACGCGGCTGCCAAGTTTTGTTTCTGTAGATCTAGCGTTCGCTGCTAACTTTTAACGGTGGGATGTTACTCCAATGCGCTGTTGGGAACTAGCTCAGAGTTTTATAGTAGGTCAGTATTCTGCATGAAATGAAGACAAGATATTGCTGAGTTTTTTTTTTAAAGAGCAGCTGTTTTCTCTCCGATGGGCAATAATGCTTAAGTGAGATCTGTAGAATAAATTTATATTCAGGTGATGTACTTAAATTGCTGATGTAGATTACGACAAGCATCCAACAGTAGAAAAAAATGTATAGATTACGTAATGTATAATGGGTTAGACTTCCAGCCGAAAATAGCATTGTCAGTTTCTTTGTCATCTTTTGACGCTGTAGCATAGTTTCGCATATCATAGGTCTCATTGCTTTTCATTTTTCATTAAATATCGAGCTGTAAATAGAATTGATAATTCTCCAAGGTTCAGTGCAGCAACGGAATGCATAAGGTTATATCTGGCGAGGCTGTCTCTTGCCGAGAGACCGGTAACTGACCAAACGTAAATGCTGCTGGTCAATGAAAAGTCGTACTCAAAGCTTAGACTCATTTGACAACAGATTCTACCACAGCGGATATAATCCTCAACTCCATTCCACGAAATACGCGAGAAGTTTCAGTTATTTCTTGACTGTCAGACTGTCCTCCTGACAGACTTTTAAAAACTTTAGCATGGTTCAGAGTGAGAAGGACGATATAATCCTCTGCAGAACGCACTGCCACCTGTTTTATCATGTTTTAAGCAGTTCAGTATTCCAAGTAAGCAGGTAGTCCATTCCAAATTTCAGGCAGACACCATTCGGCTTGTAACTCATTTAATGCGTTGACCAGTCGTTGTTAATAGGTACCAGCCTATCTTTTCCAGTCTAAGAAATCAAGGTAAAGCGAATAAGTCAACTGCTTTACGAATCTCAATGGTTCTGAGTATGACATTTCCGATTCTTGTGATTATTGTTGTCCTTCCTGAGTATTGAAATATTTGTTTTACGATCGCCATGTTCACTGAAATCTGAAAACGCTAGCTTAGCGCAGTTAACATTGAAATAATAATCGAGTGCAGGAAGTCTAGGGCCCATTGCATCAGTCAGAAGCTTGTATTCAAACCAAAACGTAGGCAGATCCATCTGTTAACAGTGTAACATTTTGTGGTGATTTTTCTGGCTCATGTGCTTCTCTACTACAAGGTGAAGAACTTGTCTTGAAGAAAGTTAGTGACCTCTGTCTATGACGTGAATCGTCGTTGGCAGGAAACTTTGCGTTATGTCACTGCTCGATTTCGTGACATGATGGCAAGTCATTCACCACTTTTAGTGGTTTGTTTAGTGTTGTTGATGGCAGGCAGACCAGCTTGTAGCGACTAAAAGCTCGCACTAAAAACGATCATTTAGCCTGATTCTGAACGCTAAATTGTTATTGTTCATTTTAAATTTATTGCTTTATTTCATTCACTTGTGACTGATTTCATTTTAGCCATAAAAGATTACAAGGATGCCCTTAATATCGACAGGATTAACGAAAGGGCACGCAGTGGATTGGATAAGGCAGAAAGGCTTTTAAAGCAGTCCAAGCGAAAGGATTACTATGCAATTTTGGGCGTAAAGCCGTATGTTTTTGAATTAATCTCACGGGTTATTTAATTATATATCTTTTAGTACTGCGAAGAGAAATGAAATTTTGAAGGCATACCGTAAGCTTGCTCAAAAATGGCATCCGGACAATTTTCGTAATGGGGCAAAGAAGGAAGCCGAAGCGAAATTCCTTGATATAGCTGCCGCGAAAGAAGTTTTAACCGATCCAAGTAAGGCTTATACTAAAGTCTTTGCTTCCACAGTTTTAGACGCCATAGTACTACATTGATTATTGTGCGATAAAAGTTTACACATGTGAATTTTTTAATACTTTGCATAACGTTCTCTGTTAGTTTTTAACTAAGAAATGAGTATAATATTTAGCTCACGCGAGTGCACATGCCATGAGCATTACAGCTGCCTTTTGGTTTTATCAGTCTTGATATGAAAGATTTTACTAGCTGGAAGTTGCTTGCCATTTGGTGATGCATAAATATGTTTTTGATGCTATCCCTTGAGCAATATTCAGGAATTTTGACGATGCCTTAGTTGTTTTTTATGACAAAAATTACAAGGCAAAAGTATGTAACATAAGAAATTTCGCCAACACCTCAGAAACTTCATGAATCAAGAAATGATATCAGAGTTGCGTCAAATAAACGACAGTTCCGTTTGGTACGTTGGACGTTAAGACATTTAATTCTGAAGGTTCGCAGAGAGCAGTGGGCAGTTGTGGGTAGCGGTTTTGAATGACCTGTTATCGTTTAGTAGGCGTTTTGCCAGATGTAAACAATTACATGGCGCTGTACCGATGCTGCATCATGATGTAGTATAGCTATGCATGTTTGCATCTTCCAGTTATCCGGTAGCTCAAAATGTAGAAAGGTCCACTACTAAGAGCAGCTTGAGCCGGTTATGAACATTCATAGTGAGGTAATGAAACAGTAGTACGATCGGACAACTGGACAGTCAATAATTTAGTTTACTAGTGAAGAATGTTGAATTGTGTAGACGTACCAAGTCTGATATACTGCTAGTTCTTAGTGTCACGCTGTGTAGTCCTTCGGCATATTCCACATTGCCGTTGTCGTAGCATCTCGCGTCTGAACCACGAATATTTTTCTGTTTTGACTTGCCCATACACCAAAGACAGGTTGGCAGTCATCAGTAAGTTGTGCAATCAGAAATCCAGATGAAACTTTCTGAACGACGCCCCGTACACCTTGAATAGGTACTTTCTACGGTTCGTAATAGCACCACCAAACAAAGATCTTACGATAATTTTTGATGCCATTTCTAACGACAGCCCATTTTACAATATTTTGGCTATGGAGGTCATACAACAATTCAAGCGCTTAAAAGCCTCCACTGCATTTTCAAATGATCTCCATCCGATGATTCTTAAGCTTGGTGTTGATTCACTTTGTTTAGTCTTTGTCTGGCTACAGCCGTTATGTGGCCCAGAGAGTCATTCCAAAGTTATGGATAACTGCTGATAGTATCAATTCCAAAATCAGAAAGACGGAAGAGTGTAGCAAAATGGCGACAAATTGCCGTAGCACCAGTCGGTTTTAGATGTCAGTCATTCTTCTCTTTGTGCACATCAAGGTACTTGGGTATATCGACTCCGCAGTTCGGCTACAGACGTGTATCTAGCACGACCTATACGCTGACTGTGGTAGTCAGCAGAACTGCGAGTGATTTGGACCTAAGGCAACAGCCAGTACGGATAGCTTTCCCCAATTGTAACTCTGCCTTTAACACTGTGCCACGTGTCAAACTGATTGAAATGTTGGTCAGTGACGAATTGGAGCCTCAAATGCTCATCTGCTTTTCCGGTACTACTCAGGCCTGTGGTAGTTTGTTCGCGTCTGTACCAGGAAATCAGAGATACGCTTAGCAATGTGCAGGGTAGCACAGAGATCATGCCTACCACCAGTTCTGTTCACTCTTTAAATACAGGTGCCGCCCCTTCATCACTGCGGCCAACTGCATAGAAGTACGTCGACTGTATTCTTGTCCTTGTGAAGTCCTTATCTGAGCTCGAACGTTTCCTCTATTTAATCCAAAAAATCTGAAGCTAGACGTGTGAGAATGTCCTCAAGCTGAATCCATTAAAATCTTCATCTTCATCTTCCATCGCCGCTTCTCCTTTCGGGTCGCGGAGGCAGACACGTCAGAGAGAGTTTCCAACGTTCCCGATCCTGTGCCAGAGTCTGATCTTCGGAAAAAGACGAATAGG